GATCTCCCAAACTGGCTCGGTGCCTGTGGCTCAAGTGGCTAAGGCGCCAGCCACACACACCTAAGGTGGCGGGTTCAAATCCAGGCCAGGCCCGCCAAACAACAATGACGGCTGCAACCAAAAAATAGCTGGGCGTTGTGTGGTAGCCTGTAGTCCCAGCTACTTGAGAGGCTGAGGCAAGAGAATTGCTTAAGCCCAAGAGTTTGAGGTTGTTGTGAGCTGTGACGCCATGGCACTGTACCAAGGGTGACATAGTAAGACTCTGTCTCAAAAAAAAGAAGAAAAAAAAAGGAAGAAGAAATTAAGAAATAAAAACAAAGCAACAAAAGTCCAACAGGTCTTTATGGAGTAAAATTTTGTAATATTGTAAACTAACAAAACTTTGTGTTTCTTCTCTGTGGTGATCAGGTGGCTACAACAGCAAGGTGATTTGGGGGAGTGGAGGTGTGACAAATTTTAACCCATTCAAATTTCAGCTATTTGCAACAAAACTTTCCAGCTATCACTTGTTTTTCTGTTTGTGTGGGAATCAAGACTTCTGAGAATTACTGGTAAACATGGTCCAAAAAAGATACATCTAGACTCAAAATCAATTTAAACCTTGGTCAGAAAATAGAACAGAGACATTATCTGTCAAGTTCAATGACTCTAATATTATAGATATAGAACTCTTCTCATCTTCTCTTTCTTCCTGAGGCCATTTTGGTAAATTTTCGCTCTTTCTTTTTTTAAAAGAGGACCTTGCTCTGACACCCAGGACTGGAGTACAATAGCATCATCATAGCTCCCCATAGCCTCAAACTTCTGGGTTCAAGCCATCTTCTTGCCTCAGCCACCGTAGTAGCTGGGACTACAGGTGCCTGCCACCATGCCTGAGTAGTTTTTCTATTTTCTCTAGAGACAGGGCCTTGCCGTGTTGCCCAGGCTGGTCTCAAGCTCTTGGCTTCAAGTGATCCTCTTGTTTCAGCCTTCCAAAGTGCTAGGATTATAGTGAGCTACCATGTCTGGCCTAAATTGTATTTTTCTAAGAGTTTGTCCGTTTCATCCAAATTTTCACATTGATTGGGATAAAGTTGTACATAATTTTCTCTCTGAATAATGTCATGGACCTGAGGTGAGGGCCCCTTGCCATTCCCCATATTGGTTATTTACACCTGGATTCCTAATGTTCACACCCTCCTTCCATGAGACAAGTACACACAGCCTACAGTCTTGTTTTTTTAGCTGAGGACAACTCCATCCTTGGAGTTGGCCTTGATTCTTCTTTTCCTCTAACTCAGCGGTTCTCAACCTGTGGGTCTCAACCCCTTTGTAACAAAGAAAATACATTGCGGCATTAGGAAGGTTGAGAACTACTGCTCTAACTGCTTCCACCTAAAGTACCAGGAACTCCTGTTGGCTCTACCTACAAAAGCTCCCCTGAATCTGGCACCTATCATGACCCTATTGGCCTCTTCTCTCACAGGAGCTATCATCTCTCACCTGGGTCACTGCAGTATTCCCCACCTGGTCTCCCTTTTTCTGCCATGGCCCCTACAGCTTCCAGACAGCAACAAGAGTGAGTTTGTTAGATCTAAGTCAGATCCTGTCACTTTTTCTTCAAAATCATACAGTGCTCCCATCTCATTCAGAGTAAAAGCTTACATGCTGAAAACGGCCTCCAGGTCACACATGATCTGGCTCTCATCTCCTCCAACTTTTCCTCCTCTTCACCACTCACTCACTCTGCTCCAGCCACCCTGGTCTCCTTAATAGGCCAGACACACTCCTGCCCCAGAGCCTTTGCACTTGCTAGTCCCTCTCCTGAGATACCTTCCTTAATCTCTACATGGTCTCCTTCCTCTTATCCTCCCACTTTCCCTGGAGTCTTTGCTTACATGGCCATTTCTTAGGAAGGCTTAATCTGATACTCTAAAAGGAAATGGGCATCTATCTTCTTTCCACTCTGGCACTCCCAATCTCTGTATCCTTCTTTTCCATTTTCTGTTCTCCATCCTACTTATCTCTACTTATTTATTGTGTCTGGCTCCCACAGCAGCTGCAAGAGGGCAGGGATCTCCACCATTTATAGATGTGCCCCAGGGGCCTAGAACAGTGCCTGGCCCACGAAATGTACATTTTTTCTTTTTGAGACAAAGTCTCACTCTGTGCCCTGGGTAGAGTGCTGTGGTGTCGTAGCTCAAAGTAACCTCAAACTCCTGGGCTCAAGCTATTCTCCTGCCTTGGCCTCCCAAGTAGCTGGAACTACAGTGCCCACCACAATACTCAGCTAATTTTTCTATTTTTAGTAGATATGAGGACTCACTCTTGCTCAGGCTAGTCTCAACTCCTGAGCTCAGGGGATCCTCCCATCTCAGCTTCCCAGAGTGTTGGGATTACAGACACGAGACCCATGCCCAGCCTCACAAAAGGTACTTAATAAGTATCCATTGAACTAATTACTGACTGAATTTTCTGTTCCAAACACTGTGCTAAGACTCTTCAAAATTTCATGATCTCATTTAAGCCTTATGGCAAGTAAATGTCCTGATAAAGATACCACACTTTAGAAGTGGATGTGACACACACTTTGTGACCTTGAGCAGCGAGAAGGTCAGAGACTTAGGAGGGTGAGATTATGGGGTTGAGCTGAGCATGTGGAGACTATACTGCAGAGGAAGTGTCGGCAGGTGGGGGTCCCCACAGCTTGGAGGGATGAGAAAAATCAGGTTCTGAGGTAGGTGAGTCAGGACATAGGGATGTTCAACAGACACAGGGAAATGGTACACTTTTGTCTTTCGGTGAGTGTCTACAAGTCTCTGTGGAATTTAGGGTAGGAAGTTTTTTTTGTTTTTTTTTTTGAGACAGAGCCTTAAGCTATCCCCCTCGGTAGAGTGTTGTGGCATCACAGCTCACAGCAACTTCCAACTCCTGGGCTCAAGCGAGTCTCCTGTCTCAGCCTCTCAAGTAGCTGGGACCACAGGC